GTTTAAATTTTTTTTGATCAAATTGTAATCTAATTTGCTTTTTTTTTTTTTTTTTTAACTGATTTTAATTGTTACGTTTTTTTATGTAACTTTTCAAAAATAAAAAAAAAAAAAAAAAAAAAAAAAAAATGTATATCAAAAACATCAAAAAAAGATAGAATAGAAATTTTATCGAAAAACATGAGCCAAAATTTTTTCTAACTTTAAAAAGCTGTCGAAATCTTTATTTTTTTTCTTTGACGACATTTATTATCATAAATGCGTCGTAAAAACAAGCAGAATAAAAAAAAATTGAAAATGTTAATTTTTTACCTAGTTATGGCCCAAAATGGAGTTGAACCCACTTGTAAATAATTACCCTTCATTTATCATCTCTAACAACTTTTACAAACATATCTTTCATAGCAAGCTCATGAGAAATTCCCAAAAATAGCCTATTTTTTTTAGTCGATGAACTATACTACACCCTTAAGTTTCAACCAGTGACAAAAAATTATTAATTTATTCAAAAAATGACTCATTAAAGTTAAACAAAAATACTTTACCTCAAATATTAAATTGGCAGACTCACTTAGAGTGCTTTCGACAGGTGAATCAACTGGGACAGTTGCCGTGAACTGTTCGTCAAACTGAGACGTATCATCAGCGCTCTTCAAAGATGGTTTAAAAGGCGGCTCCAATTTACGCGAGATAACATCTTGCCAACTGATATGCTTGAAAAAGTTGTGATTCATAATCTGTTCAGCATCTTCGGGATCTGACCCTAATCTCTGGGGTACTTGTCTCTTCAGGAGCTTTCTTATCAAATCCCTGGCATCTGGCGTTAGATATTGCGGCAAAGCCAACTTACCTTTTAATATCTTCTCAATAGTTTTTTTACGATCGTCGGCAGTAAATGGTGGCATGCCAGTCAACATGTCGTACATTAAAGCACCAAGGCTCCACCAGTCTACAGCTTTTCCATGGCCACTTCTTGTTAATATTTCCGGTGCCATGTACTCAATCGTTCCGCAAAACGTATGAGTCACCGTTCCTTCTTGAATGTGCTCTTTGCACAACCCAAAGTCCGTCAATTTAACGTGGCCTTCACGATCCAACAGAATATTCTCAGGCTTTAAGTCGCGATAAATTATCCCTAGCTTATGGAGGTGCTGGAGCGCGAGTATTATCTCAGATAAATAGAAACAGGCCGTATCTTCAAGAAATATTCCTTCACGATCTAAGTAAGTAAATAGTTCACCGCCACACAGATACTCAAGAATCAAATAAAGTTTACCCCCTGTTTGAAACGCATAAATTAAATTAACAATAAATGGATGTTTTACCGCTTCAAGAATATTTCTCTCTGCTTTGGTATGAGCTGTATCCTTCTGGTTCCGAATAATCGAGGCCTTGCACAAGACTTTCATTGCGAAAATACTTCCTTTGTCTTTACCACTTACTTTTCTTACTTGAAATACTTTTCCGTAGCCACCTTCGCCTAAAATTTTGCACAGTTCGAAATCCTTAGGGCCGACTTTTTCATCGCTAGGATTAACAGTCTGCTCTGAGAGTTGGACTCTCTCTACATCCTCGGATCTAAAGTTTAAATAAAAGCATAAATATTTTGTCTCAGATAAATAAATTAAAAATACAGCAATAAACTTACTCCAAAATTTCATTCACATCAGGAT